CAATATGTAGGCAGTAAAGCCTAATTGGAGCCTTACCGGTAACTTTCTTAATTCTCTATTTTGGGAGAGATACACAGTTGCGTATCTTCATGTTAGTGATTCGACAAAATTCACAACGTATATTTAGTTTGACAAAATGTTCACAACAGTTAGATTGATACTCATGTTTAGGGAGCTACCATTTGATTTTTATGGGGGGACTAGGATGAAAAATGCTGTCCTGCGTTTTTATTTTTCCCTCTATTCGGTCCTGCTTTTTTATTTTTCACTCTATTCAGTCCTGGCTTTTTTTTTTAGTTTTTTAAAAATTGTCATTCTGCCTTTTATTTTGCAAATAATCTCATCCTGCCTTTTTTTTTTACTCAAAACTCCTGTCCTGCCTATTTTTTTCAAATTTCATCCTAGCCCCCCCCCCCCCCCCCCCCCCCCCCCCCCCCCCCCCACCTCCCCTCCCCCCAACCCCCCATAAAATTCAAATGGTAGCTCCCTTAGTCACACAAGACATGAGGTCCGTGTCTCTGTCATTCTATGTGTTGTTTGGGTAAATATAACCAACTATTTTCACTAATACAAGTCTACCAACCAACCTTGATAAATATCATTACATGTTCTTAGTCAGTCGATGGACAAGTTCAAGTGAGTGTTTTAATATATATATATATAAAATGCACCCAATGGTGAATTGGGAATAAAAATATTGTCATTTTGGTCTTCTTCTGACTGGCAGTAGACCCTTGCTAAAGTTGGGCGTCCGTTTGGTTGTGCGGGATGTAAAATTTTCAACAACTGTCAGAGTGGGTATATTCAAACTGATGCCTCGTGTAGAGGGGCCGTCGGTGACCTGTTGTCTGAGCCTGTGGCAAGTTGAAATAATATGCTTTTTGTTTAAAAAAAAGAGAAAAATCCCAAATTTACAAAATCGACAGTATGGTCATAATGACACGAAAAAACAACAAAGTTTTATAAATCTTTCTACTATTAACGCCAACCTAATGTTTTTTAAAGTTGAATTTATCCAGATTGATCCACTCCATCTTTAGTGAAAGTATGAAAAAAGTTTAATTGTGAAAATGTGATTTTTTCATAATAAAAGACCACAAATGGGTAAAAATTGATGTAAAATGGGAAAATCATTAAAAAAAAAATACTTTCAAATGGCCGTAACAAAACAAGAAGTGCATGCTGAAATGGATGTCTTTCTTGTTTTACTAACCAAGATTCTTTTAATTTTAAAAGACTTAAAGATTGTGATTTCACTACAAGTATCAAATACACTTTACATTATCAATGACACATGACTATAAGATCAAGGTCAGATAAACCCTGCAGCAACAGACATTCTGTATGTATGTGCCTGTCCCTAGACAGGAGCCTGTAATTCAGTGGTTGTCGTTTGTTGATGTGTTACATATTTGTTTTTCAATAATTTTCTTTTTTTTACATAAAGGAGGCCGTTAGTTTTCTTGATTGTTTTACATTTGTCATTTCGGGGCCTTTTATAGCTGACTATGCGATATGGGCTTTGCTCATTGTTGAAGGCCGTATGGTGACCTATAGTTGTTAATGACTGTGTCATTTGGCCTCTTGTGAAGAGTTGTCTCATTGGCAATCATACCACATCCTTTAGAAGGATAGAGCACTCGGCTTACCGCATCGAGTGTCTCACAGCTAAGTTGGCATCTGATCATGAGGTGTTCGCCATAGATTGACCTCCTGATTGAATTCGTCTAAATTACATGCCAGGTCAATCTCATATGTCTCAAAAAATGTTTTTTTTTTCGTTTGTAATATTCTTTACAACACGAGGAAGCAGATACTGCGCAAAGAAGTGATTTTCTGATGATATCAGACGCGACTCCAGTTCCATTATCATGTGGTCTATGAACGCAAAATATGATGAGACTTCCCAATACTGTTTTGGCGTGTTTGTAGGGTGATTGGCTCTGGTAGTCTGTCGATCACATTGCCTTGTCATATTTTCAATGATATCGAAGGGTTCAGATAAATCGAATTCCGATTGGTATATCTCATTCCAAACAGATTCATCCCTTCGTTCAGCTCGTAACAACTCAATAACAGTTCTACATTCTTGTGTAGCCTCCAACAGATCACAATCGATACCTTGCAGGTATTTCGACAGATATACCGTAATCTGTAAAATGTGCTCTGAAACTACAAGAGCAATAACAAATTCAAATCTTGTAATAGATCAAGGTACTGTTCGGCTTTGTCATCTCCATCATCTCGCAATCGTTCATGATTTAAATATTCTTTCATTTAAAAGTTTTGAAACCAAATGCCATTATTTAATGTCATTTAATCAATATAAAGAGAGATAACATCATGAACATACATATGTATATGTGTTTCCTTTAAATATTTTATCTATAATTTTTTTTTTTGCCAATTTTTTTTTGCATGCCGAATCGATGTGCACGCAACTGCGTGTTGACGTATAGGGAGTTACGCGCCTGCTCAGTGGGACATAAAAATCCTGTAAGACAGACAAGTACACCCTTCAAATATTCCAAACACTAAATATGATTGACCTATTGCTTATGGTAATATAAAAACAGACCAAAACACAAAAATGTAATGTTGACCAATAAACCATGAACATGAGCTCAAGGAAGGATTGTACCTGCCAAACAGACATGTACTCTTTACAATCATTCTATAACCACACATAGTTGACCTACTGCTTATAGTACTTGCAAAAAACAGACCAAAACACACAAAAAAACTTAACATTGACCAATGAACCATGAAAATGAGGTTAAGGTCAGTTAAAAAATGTCAGACTGGCATGTACCCCTTATAATCATTCCATACACCACATATAATTAACCTTCTGCCTAAAGTATCTGAGAAACAAACTTAACAATGGAACTTAAACCTTGATCACCGATCCTTGTAATGAGGTCAAGGTCAGGTGAACTCTATCTGACGAACATGTAGATGTTGCAAGAACCAATCTACCAAATATAGATATCTTATGCATAATATGTAAAAAATGTAAAAAAATTCACATGACATAAAAAACAACATTTTTTTTCAAGCATATCCTGAAACATGAAAATGAGGTCAAGGACAAAGGACATATGACTGACGGAAACTTTGTATCATAAGTTATGTGCATACTAATTATGAAGCATCCAGTTCTTCTACACTGATTTATAAATCTTTATACAAATAGTTTAAGCAGCGGGCTCCTGATAAAAATCCTTAGGTCTCACATTCTGTGACTTTCCTCCCAGGCGAAAGAAATCCTCGTCAAAGATACCAAAGACTCATTCATTCAAATCTTTAAGAAAATAAGAAAAAGAATGTGTCTGAGGATACGAATGCCCCCACTCAAGCTTTGCAATTGAAAGGTAAATAGCTCATTGTCCAAACTCAAACTCTGTCAATGTATTTTTATTCTTACAATTGTGTACGAGTTAAATGAAATTTGTATGAGGAAAACTTGCATTACAGTTTAGAATTTTTTTTACAATTTTCCAAGTCATAAAGGGACATAAAGCGTATAACTCTAGAACACTTAATGGCTCAATGCCCTAATTCGAACTCTGTCTGCCAATTTTGGTTCTCTAAGCATTGTATATCAGTTTCATAAAATTCGTAAGGGTTCCGCGGAACACAGTGTCTCGCCTACTTTTGCTGTTAATCGCAGGCTCAACAAAAATGAGGAAAACAATTAATAAAAATATTCCTCTCTATACTATCTTTTGATTGTAAGTAGCTTCTGTTCAAGTTTGGTAAAAATCCATGATAGTTTATGAATCTAATTAATGTTTTAAAAACTTAAACTGCAGACTGTATGTAATGTTAACTGGAAGAAAAACAAAGTCCATTTATAAGTAAAATGGAAAAAATGGAACAAAATTTTAACAAATTTTCCTTCTAGATACTAGCTTTTAATCATAAACAAGCTTCTGTCCAAGTTTGGTACAAATCCAGGATAGTTTAAGAAAGTTGTTAAAATTTTAAAAAACTTTAACCACAGAGTGAATGTAATGTAAACTGGCAGAAAAACTAAGTCCATTTATAAGTTAAATACGGATAAACTGGATTTTTTTTATTAATTTTACTTCTGGATACTATCTTATGATCATAAACAAGCTTCTGTCCAGAACTGGAAGAAAAACAAAGTCCATTTATAAGTAAAATGGAAAAACTGGAACAAAATTTTAACAAATTTTCCTTCTAGATACTAGCTTTTAATCATAAACAAGCTTCTGTCCAAGTTTGGTACGAATCCAGGATAGTTTAAGAAAGTTGTTAAAATTTTAAAAACTTTAACCACAGAGTGAATGTAATGTTAACTGGCAGAAAAACTAAGTCCATTTATAAGTTAAATACGGAAAAAATGGAATTTTTTTTTTACAAAATTTACTTCTGGATACCATCTTATGATCATAAATTAAACAAGCTTCTTTCCAAGTTTGGTACAAATCCACGATAGTTTAAGAAAGTTATTAAAATTTCAAAAACTTTAACCACAGAGTGAATCTAATGTAAACTGGCAGAAAAACTAAGTCCATTTATAAGTAAAATACGGAAAAAATGGAATTTTTTTTTTACAAAATTTACTTCTGGATACTATCTTATGATCATAAACAAGCTTCTGTCCAAGTTTGGTAGAAATCCAGGATAGTTTAAAAAAGTTATTAAAATTTGAAAAACTTTAACCACAGAGTGAATATTTGTGGACGCCGCCGACGGAATGTAGGATCGCTATGTCTCGCTTTTTCGACAAAAGTCGAAGGCTCGACAAAAACTGGATGAGGAAACTTTAATAAGTTAGAGCGTAAAAACGAAAAAAAATTGCAATGTTCCAAATCATAAAGGGGCATAACTCTAGAACAGTTAATGACTTAATGCCCAAATTTGAACTCTGTCTGCCAATTTTGGTTCTTAGTCTTGGGTATTAGTTTCATTAAATTTGGGACGATAATTAACATTCTTCAACTATAGTAAAGTCATGCCACTAAGGTTACCTTTTAAACCATAAAGAATCTTTTTAACCTGTTGTTGCATCACAGTGCTCATTGTGGTTTCTTTAACAACAGGATCATTCTCTCCACTGATTCTTCCCAATACCTGTTCACAAATCAAACTAACTATTAAATTGATTATAAAGAATACATGCTTTGTCTATATTCCCCTTTGTGTTTCTTTGATACATATGACGAGGCTCGAGACATACATCCTGTCATTGTGTTATTGTGCTATTGTAAATTTTTGTATTCTTGTCTTTCATTTTTGTTAATGTGCTTTGTCTATATGCCCTTTTGTGCTTCTTTGTTACATATTTGTTTGTTTTTAAAGTGATTAAGGTTATAACACAATGTTGACTGCTGTACCCCTATTTTTTACATTTTTACCTATTATGTCTGTTTGTTTTGTTCACACATCGTTGTCAATATAATGGAGTTTGATGCGACTGTCATACAAGTGAGAGGTTTAGCTAGCTATAGAACCAGGTTCAATCAACCATTTTTTACATAAGGAAATGCCTGTACCAAGTCAGGAATATAACAGTGGTTATCCATTCGTTTGATGTATTTAAGCTTTTGATTTTGCCATTTGATTAGGGACTTTCTGCTTTAGATTTTTCTAGAGTTCAGTACTTTTGTGATTTTACTTTTTATATTCCAAACATGAAAGCACTACTCATCCCTTTCTCTTATCCTATGTTTTTTTCTTTTTACTGTATCAAAAATGCAAAGTCCGTAACTATCCTTTAACTAACGCCTGGTATTTCTATGTCCCATTCACTGCGTTGCACAGGATTAAAATTTCAAGAAATGCTGAATACAAATAATGCTTTCAAAATATAAAATGTGAGTTTTAATTTTTGCATAACCTGTCATGTGCAATTTAGCCTATAATAAAAACATAGCAAACATATCTGAATTTCTGTATTGATTTAACTTGTCCTTGTAGTCTAACATGTCTAAAGAAGATACATTGAAAACGAACAAAGCACAATTAAGATTGACCTATAACAGCCCTGTTGTTCACAAGGAATTTTTATGAAGAATCTTAAATACATTATTTCCAAATCAGATTCAAATTGAGCTTGTAAATTCAGAGTTGACAAAAATGTCCAAGTTAATGGATAGCATATAGAAAGTGATGGCAAATTTCACAGTTGTGTAAACTACAGGGAATGACTTACTACTTTCACTGTTTGAACAAATTGGTGATATTTATCTAAATCCATTGATGACATTTTAATGATCTCTTTATACCAGTACTGCAGTCTATATAAGTCTGCTGCTAAACTGGTATCATGGCTCTCTGGTTCTGTATTTGGAATCTGCACAGCTTTAACCATAGACATTAATGTAACCAGTGCCTGGAATCCTGGTCTGGTTGTTAGTGTAGGTACTGTAATAAAATATACCTGATAGATAAACTCACTCTATGATATCTACCACAAAAAAATGTTTGGTCGGTTTCAAGTGAATATATTTGTATTAAGTCCGAGTTACTGTACAAGTTGCTGTCAATATGTACAGTCCACATCGATTTGATTGGAGATGTCATTTAACTTTTTACATATTTTTTTTTCAAATGCACATTCAGAACCTGTTAATGTGAAAATATCATACAACTGACAATGCTAGAACTAATTGCACACTAATTGTACAACTGATCAAAAAGTAGTTTAGGAGATACCTGTACTGTATTTTAAGAGAGGCCTATTAAAAGAGAGGCGAAAGATACCAAAGGGTCATTCAAACTCACAAGTTGAAAATGAACTGACAACGTCATGGCTAAAAAAGAAAAAGGCAAACAGATTTGATTTTAATTTGCCTTTTCTCCATTCAAATGTAAAATGAACAAAACATTCCATATAAGTCATTAGTTTGGTCTCATTAATCGATACTTCCATGAAAACATTATCCTTGTTTTGGCATCTAAACAATAGGACTCCTTAGTCAAGCTGCCTGGGTTAAACACAAACATCAAAAGTTTTTAAGGCTTTGTGCAAATTTGAGAACAAATTAATATGTGATTTCTTTAAATAAAAAACAAATATTCACATTTCTCCCCTGAAAGTCTCCTTTTTGTCAAATGTTATTCATTTCTGAAATGTAATCATAGCATAAAACAAGCTTAAAATACAATATGGTTATCATATAACAATTAAAGTAATGTTCTTTTCTATCTTTTCAACCAATAGCCCTATTCTGAAAGGATATTGTCCTGAACATGCATGAAATATTTGCCACTGGATGTAAAGCAGACAACAATCTATCAATCAAAAGGATATAATAATAATGTTGTTTGTCAATTCTTGTCTGCCGATCTTTGCTAATTTATAGTTTAGGCCAGACTTATAAATATTTCTATATTTTTTTTATTTACACAGTTCATTGTTTAATCATCTATCATGTCCATATAGTGGCAATTTTACCGTTGGTGACACACAAAGCTTACATTTTTGGAGACCAAACCCATTTTGATATGTATGTATAATACACAGTTTATAATGTTTAACAGTGCTTCTGATAAAACTACAGTTGTTGACCAAGTACGACAGAAAGATTACCCTTCTTGTGCCCCTAATTAATCTGATCCATGTTACGAGAGCATTGCTCACTATTCTCTTGGACATTTTTAGATGATTTAATTTGAATTATGCATGCAGCTGTGCATTCTGTGTAAATACATAGATAGTTTATAAAATAACTGAACCTGTTTGATTTAATTCATCTTGGTTAATGTCAGTTGATTCCAAGTCAGAAGCCAGTTCTGTGTTAGCTGAGAGAGGGTCCTCCTTGAGAGCCTCCAGAAATAACAGATAATCTTGTTCACTTCTGATCTTAGCTATTAGTTTTCTATTCATTTCAGCTGACACTCCACTGGAAGCTATATCTGCATGGTCATCAGGTTCTAAAACTCCCTTTGATATTAATGAATCAATGACATTTCTTACATCAGATAAATTCTGAATCAGATTGTAGTAGTTCTTTTGTAACCTGACTGAATGGTTCCCTGTAACTAAATCAAAGAAAAGGAATTAACAGTCATATCAAATTAAGCTATGACTTTTCATTTTTTTAGTTAGATATTGAGTACAATTATCATGATTATGAGACACTAAAAATATCAATGCAAGATAGATTATTTTTACGGTGTTTATAGAGCATGTTAAGATAGCTTATACAACAGCGTCAAGTGTGGTTCAATATTTTTCAATTGAGACAATTAAATGTTCATCACTTTTTTTCAGTACTAACATTGATTTTGTTATTAATCAATTAAACATAACTAAATATGTACTCCAATATAGAATACACTCTTACAATCCTACATCCTGTCAATACTTGTATCTTGGCATTGCACAAGGTTGCCTGTTTTAACAGACTTCTTAAGATTTTTTACATATAATTAAATCAGTTGGAGGTGTACTGATTGATTAGTTAGTCTTAAAAACAATTCATTCATCTATTTATAAAGTACTCTTCGGTCGGTACTTTGTGTCTTTAGTCTTTTTGTTTTTTGTGCTTTGTGTTGATCTGAATGATCATGCCCTTTTCGACAGATTTTTAAAGTTTGTTCTTATGGTGTGCTTTTACACCAAATCACACCTTGTGAAACTGCATATGAGATTTATTTAAAGTTAGTTCCCTTGGGTAAATTTGAGCAGTATAATTAAAGAATTTTGTATTATTTAATGCAAAATGATATTGAGGTTATGGCAAGGGTCCTTACATTTATCAATTAAATGGAATTTAGACCAATCATTTCTAAGTAAATTGTGGTTAATGATAATACAGGAACAGGTCTACTATTAAAGGGGCACCAGTGGTACCCATAGTAGTATGGGACCCTGTAATTTAGTGGTGGTAGTTGGTTGCTTTCTTCATATTTGTTTTTCTTTTTTTTGGCAGTTAGCTTTCCAGTTTGAATTCGGTTTTTGTCATGTTTGGTCTTCTATAGCTTTCTATACATTGCTCATTGTTGAAGGCAATAGGTTTTATACCTATAATTTCTTGCATCTAAATCATTTGGTATCTGGTAAATAGTTGTCTCATTGGCAATGACACCACATCTTCTGATTTTTGTATTAAGTCCTTTTCCTTTACGACTTTTTATTGTACCTATTGTAAGTCCACTATTCAAGATAAAGGCATTCCCAGGATAAATAAGGGGGAATTGAAATTTCAAAAAACCAGTTTTGTCTCATTGGCATTTGTTAGACACTGCTTTTCATACAAATAATCAGAATGAAAACTAAGAACTCACTACTTGATTTAACTTTGGAATGTGAAACATCTTCATAATGGGAAAGTTGTTGGCCTTCCATACATTCTATCAGGTCTGTAGAACAAGTAGGAGACTCTTTTAGGACCTCTAATAATACACTGTAGGAATCTTGTGGTCTTTGAATAAGAAGGTCTAAAATACATTTGTTGCGGTCAGATGGCTTTGGATGTTGTTCTATTTCTGCTCTATCTTCAATCCTAAAGATACATTTGGAAATCAATAGATCAAGGACGTCCTTATCTAGAATGGTGTCTTGTATTATCTTATCATAGAAATGGTACAATCGGTTGTGAGCTGGAAAAGAAATAAAACATGTGGTTACCATGGTGATTTATATAGATATATATATATGATAGTTTGGTCCATTATGGCGTCCTGAAAATATGATACAGTCTGTGAAAACCTAGAAATTTAAAAAAAATAGCAATCATGAACCATCTTGTCTTTTTGGTTTTTATTAAAAAAACATGTGAAATAACATACGGATGTGGTAAATTCATTATTTATGAGTTTGCCATTTCTTTAAAGAAACAAAAACCAGAGAGATGATCTAGTGATCAGATACCCCTGCCTGCAGCAACTGAGAGATCATGATTGTGTTTCTGTAGCAACTTACTGTGAATTTCTGGTTGAATTTTTTATATTTTATGAAAAATACTTCTGTTAAGGGGTAACAAATCTGGAAACAAAAGAAAACCGTTGGTGACACACAAAGCTTACATTTTTGGAGACCAAACCCATTTTGATATGTATGTATAATACACAGTTTATAATGTTTAACAGTGCTTCTGATAAAACTACAGTTGTTGACCAAGTACGACAGAAAGATTACCCTTCTTGTGCCCCTAATTAATCTGATCCATGTTACGAGAGCATTGCTCACTATTCTCTTGGACATTTTTAGATGATTTAATTTGAATTATGCATGCAGCTGTGCATTCTGTGTAAATACATAGATAGTTTATAAAATAACTGAACCTGTTTGATTTAATTCATCTTGGTTAATGTCAGTTGATTCCAAGTCAGAAGCCAGTTCTGTGTTAGCTGAGAGAGGGTCCTCCTTGAGAGCCTCCAGAAATAACAGATAATCTTGTTCACTTCTGATCTTAGCTATTAGTTTTCTATTCATTTCAGCTGACACTCCACTGGAAGCTATATCTGCATGGTCATCAGGTTCTAAAACTCCCTTTGATATTAATGAATCAATGACATTTCTTACATCAGATAAATTCTGAATCAGATTGTAGTAGTTCTTTTGTAACCTGACTGAATGGTTCCCTGTAACTAAATCAAAGAAAAGGAATTAACAGTCATATCAAATTAAGCTATGACTTTTCATTTTTTTAGTTAGATATTGAGTACAATTATCATGATTATGAGACACTAAAAATATCAATGCAAGATAGATTATTTTTACGGTGTTTATAGAGCATGTTAAGATAGCTTATACAACAGCGTCAAGTGTGGTTCAATATTTTTCAATTGAGACAATTAAATGTTCATCACTTTTTTTCAGTACTAACATTGATTTTGTTATTAATCAATTAAACATAACTAAATATGTACTCCAATATAGAATACACTCTTACAATCCTACATCCTGTCAATACTTGTATCTTGGCATTGCACAAGGTTGCCTGTTTTAACAGACTTCTTAAGATTTTTTACATATAATTAAATCAGTTGGAGGTGTACTGATTGATTAGTTAGTCTTAAAAACAATTCATTCATCTATTTATAAAGTACTCTTCGGTCGGTACTTTGTGTCTTTAGTCTTTTTGTTTTTTGTGCTTTGTGTTGATCTGAATGATCATGCCCTTTTCGACAGATTTTTAAAGTTTGTTCTTATGGTGTGCTTTTACACCAAATCACACCTTGTGAAACTGCATATGAGATTTATTTAAAGTTAGTTCCCTTGGGTAAATTTGAGCAGTATAATTAAAGAATTTTGTATTATTTAATGCAAAATGATATTGAGGTTATGGCAAGGGTCCTTACATTTATCAATTAAATGGAATTTAGACCAATCATTTCTAAGTAAATTGTGGTTAATGATAATACAGGAACAGGTCTACTATTAAAGGGGCACCAGTGGTACCCATAGTAGTATGGGACCCTGTAATTTAGTGGTGGTAGTTGGTTGCTTTCTTCATATTTGTTTTTCTTTTTTTTGGCAGTTAGCTTTCCAGTTTGAATTCGGTTTTTGTCATGTTTGGTCTTCTATAGCTTTCTATACATTGCTCATTGTTGAAGGCAATAGGTTTTATACCTATAATTTCTTGCATCTAAATCATTTGGTATCTGGTAAATAGTTGTCTCATTGGCAATGACACCACATCTTCTGATTTTTGTATTAAGTCCTTTTCCTTTACGACTTTTTATTGTACCTATTGTAAGTCCACTATTCAAGATAAAGGCATTCCCAGGATAAATAAGGGGGAATTGAAATTTCAAAAAACCAGTTTTGTCTCATTGGCATTTGTTAGACACTGCTTTTCATACAAATAATCAGAATGAAAACTAAGAACTCACTACTTGATTTAACTTTGGAATGTGAAACATCTTCATAATGGGAAAGTTGTTGGCCTTCCATACATTCTATCAGGTCTGTAGAACAAGTAGGAGACTCTTTTAGGACCTCTAATAATACACTGTAGGAATCTTGTGGTCTTTGAATAAGAAGGTCTAAAATACATTTGTTGCGGTCAGATGGCTTTGGATGTTGTTCTATTTCTGCTCTATCTTCAATCCTAAAGATACATTTGGAAATCAATAGATCAAGGACGTCCTTATCTAGAATGGTGTCTTGTATTATCTTATCATAGAAATGGTACAATCGGTTGTGAGCTGGAAAAGAAATAAAACATGTGGTTACCATGGTGATTTATATAGATATATATATATGATAGTTTGGTCCATTATGGCGTCCTGAAAATATGATACAGTCTGTGAAAACCTAGAAATTTAAAAAAAATAGCAATCATGAACCATCTTGTCTTTTTGGTTTTTATTAAAAAAACATGTGAAATAACATACGGATGTGGTAAATTCATTATTTATGAGTTTGCCATTTCTTTAAAGAAACAAAAACCAGAGAGATGATCTAGTGATCAGATACCCCTGCCTGCAGCAACTGAGAGATCATGATTGTGTTTCTGTAGCAACTTACTGTGAATTTCTGGTTGAATTTTTTATATTTTATGAAAAATACTTCTGTTAAGGGGTAACAAATCTGGAAACAAAAGAAAAACAATCAAGTACCATAACTCTGAATAAGTCAAATGAAAACTATGAAAATTGAACCAGTTTGAACAAATTGGCCTTCATTTTTCATATCCTTAATACAGTATACCACATTCTCACTTAGAAATTAAACAAGAATGTGTCATTAGTACATGGATGCCCCACTCACACTATCATTTTCTATGTTCAGTGGACCGTGAATTTGGGTCAAAACTCTAATTTGACATTAAAATTAGAAAGATAATATAATAGGGAACATTTGTACTAAGTTTCAAGTTGATTGGACTTCAACTTCATCAAAAACTACCTTGACCAACATCTTTAACCAAAAACTTTAACCTAAAGCGGGACAGACAGACAACGAACCAAGGGACGAATGAACGGATGCACAGACCGAAAAACATAATGCCCCTAAGTAGGGCATAAAAATAATCTTGTTGGTGGAGCACAGGGATGGAAATTAGCAAGTGCCCAGCAGCATATGGCCCCTAAAATTTGAGGTGTGCTTACATTTTTATTGATCATATAACAATAGTCCACCAAAATATTGACAATTTCAATTTCCATCCCTAGAGCATATATAATATGGATTCAAAAATAAATTAAGTTACGTTATCAATAGATAACAAAGCATGAAATTGTAATTATCAATAATCATTCATAAAACTGGTGGCTAGAAGTTTACATTTTAAGTAATGACTGACAATGACTGACAGAAATTTGTAAATTATTAAAAGATGATCGAAAAAAGTTGCTTCACCAACTCATAATTTCGGACCAAAATAATGAAAAAAGATGGAAAAATTGACAAATTTCTAGAAACATGGACGAAAATTAAATCTATTCCTACTTCAGGCTAATATATTTATGAATATGAAGCATATCAAATTATGTTTTATACTTTTAAATATCATACCTTTATCAATGCATACCTATTACATTTACTTTAATTATTGAAGTTAAAAAAAACACCTTTACAGGGCCGTTAAATGGGGTTCCAGTGGCGGATCCAGAGGGAGGGGGGTTCAGGCGGTTGGAAACCCCCCCCCCCCTTTTTTTTAGACAATCAATACATTTGAATGGGGACATATGGTTGGAACTCCCCCTTTTGAAAATGGCTGGATATGCCCCTGGGTTCCTGGCTCTACTCCTTAAATATTCATTTGTTCTATTTGAAGCCTTGTGGTCATATATATGTTAAACAGGTAATTGTTTTAAACACAAGACCACACTCTCTTTCAAAAGATGTCAAATATCAATTGGAATTAACCATCGTACATATTTACTTTCTCGATGAATTATTCCTTCTATCTAACTTTCAAATACCATCTGACAGTATACACTCAGCTTGGGCTGATTTGTTTTCGTAGATGACATGAGAGGAGATTTAAATATAAATCTAATAAAATTGAGAATGGAAACAGGGAATGTGACAAAGAGACAACAACCCAACCAAAGAGCAGAAAACAGCCCAAGGCCACCAATGGGTCTTTAACACTGCAAGAAAATCCCGCATCAAGAGGTGGACTTCAGCTCGCCCCTAAACAATAATGTTTACTAGTTCAGCGAAAATGGACGTCACACTAAACTCCGAAACATATAAATGAACTAAAATTTAAAAAAACATACAAGACTAACAAAGGCCAGATGTTCCTAACTTGGGACAGGCGCAAAAATGTGGCGGGGTTAAACATGTTTTGTGACTTCTCAGATGTTAGAATAGGTAACAGAAGCCAAATGACAATGATACATAAATTAACAAAGAACTACTAGCAGTTACTGACATGCCAGCTTCAGACCCTTACCGAAATATAATCCCTGCGGCAAACATTTGCCGCAAGTTTGCAGCAAACATTGCCGCAAGCTTGCAGCAAACATTTGCTGCAGACTTGCCGCAACCATTTTACCATGCAAATGAAGGTTGCGGCAAGCTTGCTGCAAACATAAGTATGCAAATTAGATTTGCTGCAAGCTTGCGGCAATTGTTTGCTGCAAGCTTGCGGCAATTGTTTGTTGCAAACTTGCGGCAAACTTGCAGGAACTACACATACACTAATGGCATGTGTGTAGACACATTCAATTTATCTCTTCAAATTACACAGCAACATTTTTAAAAAGAATTCCTGTCTGTATACAAACAGTCATTGAAAGAATTCTTGCAAACTTAAAGATTTAAGGAAATACATACATGCATTTGAGTTTTGAAAAAGGGGGCAGGGGTCATTCACAAATGACATTGTATACCTGTATTAAGAAATGAAAAAGGATAAATCTCAAATGTGTATTGGGTATAAAGCTAGGTAATAATTGCATAACAGAATTGAACTTAATTTTAATAAGCATGGTACAGTACATCATGCAGTTACAAAATTCAAACTTATAATAGCTAATGTTTTTTCAAACACACATATATATTATATATATAGTATCTTACTTAATTATGTATGATGGTGACATTAATTATTTTATTAAACATGTGGTTCTATGAATTATTTGTACTTACAAAATTACATATTAAATATCCTATATTATTGAACCAAAATGCCTCTTTGATCTCTTATATTTGAAATGCATTTTCCAAACACAATCAACATGACCTAGCCACAATTTCAAATTGTTAGCTTCCAGGAAGTGCCAACTAGGCATGCCCAGTCAATATTGTGTAATTCTTGCAATGTTCTGGCAAACATATAGAATGGTCAAAGTTTTCTGCAATCTTGCGGCAAACATTCTTTATTATCTTAACTTTCTGGCAATCTTACGGCAAACATTGATGTTTCTGCAAATTTGCCGCAAGCTTGCAGCAAAAAGCTGCAATGTTTGCCGGAAGTTTGCAGCTAGCGGCCAACATCTGCAAACACTATTTTCTGTGTTCCTGCAAACTTTTTGTTTGCCGCAAGCTTGCAGCAAGTCTGCTGCAAGTTTGCGGCAAACAATTCAGTTCCATAAGGGGACCTCAATTAAACTGATTGAAAGATTATGTCTTCATAATATGAAAATCAAGCACATTCCTCCTGTTAGGGGTTTAGTATAATACCATCATAAAATATACGATATAAGACCTTTAATGAAAAAAAAATTAATTCTAGTTCTTATATTTTTTCATTTATAACACTTGCATCAAACAAAACCCTGATAAGGGCCCCTTTACTACTTTGCATATACCAAAACTATTGACTTCATTAATTATATATATAAAACAGCTTCCTCCAGAGTGCAAGCTGTATATAATGCATGTCAAAGGCACAGAAGTACACTTTTATTATAAAAAAGATGATAAACACTTTCATGACTAAGTGATAGTGAACAGCTTTTAAAACAATACTGTGTGTTGTTTCATTTCACATACAGGGCAAGGAAAATAAATTGATGAATAGATCAACAACAACTCATTCTATTTTCATTTCTTCTGTCAAGTAGGTAAATGAAGTACCGGTAAACAACAAACAGATCGAACATTGTTTTTAATTTTTCATTGAAATATAGTTCAATCAAAACTATATACATGATATATCAAAACAAATATGTTTTATTGAATTGGACACTGGACATATGGATCACAGCTCTCCATCTTTTTTTTCTGGGTTTTCTTAATTGTACTTCCTGTTATGTTTGACCCCATAATTTCAGATTTTGAATGACAAACTAGCTATGGTAATAACAGAAGTACACTGTACTGCTGCCCAGAAAGAATAGTTACTCCTAAAAACTTTATAAATAGTGAAGCTAAAATAAAAAAAAAAAAAATTGACCCAGTCAAAGTTAACAAAATTGGCTTTAGTTCCATAACTTCATACAAAAGTGTAAGTAAACCTGTTTGTTTTTATCTTTCACAGAATAGAAGAAAATACATAAAATACATTACTTGACAAAGCACCACTTAAAGTTAAATGATGTACAGTGCACATGAAATTTAAATTAAACATGGTTTCAATTGGGTATAGGAAATCAAGACTCTAGCTGGCTCCAAAGTTGTCTCCAAATTATCCAAACTGGTAACAAAACATAGTCATGATAGAAGCTAGTGATTTTCTGACTCCAAACATTTTTTGGAGTCAGAGCAGCTCCTGAAACAAATGTCTAGGTATAACATTTCATATCTGGATATTACATTCTACACAAGATGCCTTTAAATTTCAAATTTAAAGAGTAAAAGGAGATTAAATTTTCATTAAAGGAGACGCAACACCATTTTTTAATTTAAATTTTTTTTTTAATAAATCAATAAACATGATAAATATTATTAGTCTTAAAACATGTTTCCTACAATTTTGCTGGTCAAAACCTGATCAATCGGCATTTTTAGGTCACAGAATCCAGCGCTTGTCAAAATCAATAATTTTCAATTAGATAACAATCACGTGATCCTGCTTACGTCACAGGTTCCCAGCTGAGAAAATGTCTCAAAATGGGTGCGTCGATCACTTCTGCATAATTACGCTATGAACGGTATTGACATCACTTTGTCTGATTACTGACAAACTAAAGACAATAGACATCATCACTTTGAGCCATTGTGTGTGGAAAATAACCAAGAAAAAGACATTTATTCGTCATGCAAAGAGTCAAACAACGATGATTTTACATAAATTAAAGAACCTGTCTTTTGATTGGCGCTGAATGTGTTTTTGTTTACTTACTTTTAGGCACATTATTCTCCAGTCATCCAAACAATGCATTTATCTGTGATGAAAATCGTAAAATATAAAATGAAGAAAAAGACAATCTGATGGACAGCAACATTGCTTATATATTCAGCCACTTCCCCTATTCTTGCTTTTTTCTGCACTTCTTGACAAATCTTCATTATAGAACTTGTAATTACTGTACCTATTATTTGGCTGAGTAAATCCCATTCCTCTGTTCTGAGTTTGGCCTTCAGCTGATCTTTATGAACACGGATAGACTGGACAAAACCACCTTTGTATTCCCGGTCTATGAAGTCTTCAATAGCCCTGGGTACAGTATAGAGGATATTAAAGGCTGCCTGTAATCGGTTGTCTTCCTCTGGTAGTATTCTGTAAATATAGAATATCTGTAGTAACCTGTTATGTAAAGGAGGAGGTGTACTGAGAAACTTGTTGAAGTGTAATAAAATAATTCCAAGAAAATCCCCAATATTAATGATATAAATTTAGACTGTGGATTGAGTTGTTTTCTATTGTTTCAAATTATGTGGTGTTTTGAGAACTTAGAAACTGTCTTTAATTTTCAACCAACAATTATGAAATAACTGGTATAGTGAAACAACTTACGGTTGAGCTTCAATCGACAGAATATGTGTACTTCTCCCTTCAAATTCTGCAATAAAAATAATTTTAATAAAAAATAATCATTCTTATTATTTAGTTCTACGAAGTTACTTATTACTTTGTAACAACTCAAGAATCAAGCAAATATGTATTGAAATTCCTTTCTTGATCGATACATCATTGGCCAAAAAATTAATATTAAATGAAAAACTTGATAGCCATAAATAGTATAAACAAATACCAAGGTCTGATGGAAAATATAGCCATTGTTTCCAATGATAATAGTATTCTTTCCCAAAAAATAATTAAACTGCAAATGTATTTGACTCATTCTTAATATAGTTTTTCAACAACAAAAAATAATTTTAATAAACTGTTGACACAGAGATATGTCTTGTACGGAAACGAAAACTTCAGCAATTTTTCCATTTGTAAAGGGGCATAACTCTAGAATGGTTAAAGTAACGCCACCAAAATCACACTTGATATGTATTTGGTGGTAATAAGCATTGTGTATAAGTTTCATAAAATTTGGTTGAGGCAAACTAAAGTTAGAGAACGGAAACGAAAAAATTCAGCAATTTTTCCATTTGTAAAGGGACATTACTCTAGAACGGTAAATGTGACGCCACCAAAATTCAAACTGGATCTGTGATTTGTGGTGATAAGCATTGTGTATAAGTTTTATAATATTTGGTTGAAGTAAACTAAAGTTAGAGAATGGAAACCAACTTTGGGACGTACGGACGTACAGACGGACAAGGGTAAAACTTAAAAAGTCAATCTGATGGGCAGCTACATTACTAATTATTACAAAATCCTAAGACCAACTAGTGGGTAGGGCCTTGAATTGGTTGACAAACTGAGATGTACAGACAGCAATGTAACTTTATAGAAAATATTGTCTATTGTAAGTAGTTCCTATCAAACTGACTTAATCAGAAAACTTAACATTGAAAATTGTTTATTGATTGAAAGTCACTGGACCATAACTTCTTCTAATATTATTTCTGTTATTTCTTACTTATCATACTCTATAGTCAGCACCCCTGTATGGCAGGTTAAATATTGGAGAATAAAACTGCGGACTATAGAAGCCTTTATTCTGTAGGTGGCAGGGCCTTAAAATAGTTGTCTGATATGAACTGATAGTAATGCAACTTTATATAGTAAAATCATAGATCTATCGCAAGTAGTTCATATCAAACTAACTTGAGCAGAAAACCAATTATTGAAAATTGCTAATTAATTGAAAGTCACTGAACCATGGCCAGGGGGCAGGGCCTCAAAATAGTCGTCAATCTGGTATGTATTGATAGCAATGAAACTTCACACAAAATATCATTGATCTATCACCAGTAGTTCCTATCAAACTAACTTAAGCATGTTAAGCAGAAAACTTAACATTTAAATTTGCTAATTAATTCAAATCTCTGGACCATGGCTTAGGGGGACAGGGCTTCAAAATTGTTGTCAAACTGGTACAAATGTGGTATGTACTGATAGTAATGCATCTTCATACAAAATATCAATGATCTATCACAAGTAGTTCCTATCAAACGAACTTAAGCAGAAAACTTAACAATTATTGACGCTGTCGCTGCTAATCCTTATGTCTTGCTTTCCGTGACTTTCGTCATTCAAGGGAAATAACACCTATAAGAATTCACTTAATGTTTAATTATTTGTAGATCTTACTTTGATGATAAGTTTTGCTGTTTACAGTTTCTGTCTGTAACAGTATCCACAAACATTGTAGTTTACTTAGCACATTAACCAATGTTAACATCTATAGCATGTATAAGGAGTTGATTTCTATATATAAAAATAAGGTATGTCATATGAGACATCTATCCACAAAGTTCCAATGAAGTGGATGTAAGCATTTATAGGCAAATGTACAGCCTTCAACAATGAGAAAAACCAATACCGTTTATGTCCACTAAGTTACTAATTTGTGGAACTTATCTCGCTGATAATTTCTGCCATTCAATGTTTCTCACTTTCTACTAAGATTTCATGATAATATTCAACATTGCAAAAATTGTATGAATTGATATTTGGGGATAACTCATTTAATATGTTTAAGGACAATGACAATTTTGGTCAAATTGGATAATAGGTAAATCTTGACAGATCTACGGTTGAGGATTCAAAGATTCAAATGAAGGTTTCAAAAATGTTGACTTGTTAAAATAGTACATTTTGTTTAGTAGATCTTATAATGATGTTCATAGTTTATCTCTTTTATAGTTTCCACCAGAAACTCAGAGAGTACTTAACTCAGGGTTGTTTAACAACCTTGGCTACCCAATGGCCATGAGGGTCTTGCACCGTTGGGAAACTCAGAAAGGGTAATTCAAGGGCATTAACTCGCATTTGTAGCAATGTTGACTTATTTGTAGATCTTAGTTAGCAGGTCATTTTTGCTCTGTAAAATTTCTCTCTATTATAGTTTCAACCGCAAATACATATATTTTACAATACTTGCATTTCAATCCTATGTTCTTTTTGGAGGCTGCCATGTTGAGTAGCAGGTGGCATAATTGGATACAAGGATGTTTGGCAACTTAATGACCAACTTTGGTTCCAATTGGCTCAGTAGTGTCAGAGGACAAGATTTATTTTAAAGCTAAGGAATTATGTCATAGATGACAGTTGACTGATGCCAAGTATAAACTGGGTAAACTGTTATGATTAAATGTAATTTGATCTTGACGTTTTGAGTCATTTTTATTCTCTTTCTATCAAGTTTTTTAATAATTTTCAAGATATTTATTTTATCCTGATGTTTCTATATCTTTCATGTTGTTGGGTTGTTGAGGAACTTAGATATAATTTACAAACAAGATATTCTAAGGAACACACTGCCAGTTGTTGGTGTAAAATGAAATTGAAGTTTTGGAGGGGAAGATTTTAAAGATTTTTTAGATATCCTCAGGCTGAAATTTTAAATTGTTGTATTGACTTTAACTAAATATTTTTGTATTGGAAAAGAAAAAATAACATAAATAAATACCTGTCTTAGAACTAGATATTGACTGTAAATCTGTCAGAATATTTTGAGATGGATCCTTGTCTGCCTCATCTCCTGACTGGATCACATCTTTACAAGATTCTGTCATTCTCAACTGAGAACTGTCTACAGTGTCTGCCTCGGCATCTATTGACTGGACCACATCTTTACAAGTTTCTGTCATTCTCAACTGAGAACTGTCTTCAGTGTCTGCCTCGGCATCTATTGACTGGACCACATCTTTACGAGACTCTGTCATTCTCAACTGAGAACTGTCTACAGTGTCTGCCTCAGCATCTACTGACTGGACCACATCTTTACGAGACTCTGTCATTCTCAACTGAGAACTGTCTACAGTGTCTGCCTCAGCATCTATTGACTGGACCACATCTTCACCAGATTCTGTCATTCTCAACAGAGACCCCTAAATGTTGTCTCTCTTACATACTGAATGGACAAACTGCACATATGACTCTGTATGTTTGGGTTAGGATATCCATGTTTTCTATATTCAAATAAAAAGGCAAGATTACCATGGTATCAGATAAATTAACTTAAAAGTTTACGACTTTTATGATGACTTCATTGACGATTGACTTAGTATCTTTTATGAATATAAGGAGATGTGGGTATATGTCAATGAAACAGCAACCCAATGACACATATAATTAAGACATCTAGAGGGCAACATATAGTCTTCAACAATAGACATGTGTCAATACAATATGTCAATGAGAAGACAGCAACCCAATGACACAAATAATTAAGACATCTAGAAGGCAACATATAGTCTTCAACAATAGACATGTGTCAATACAATATGTCAATGAGAAGACAGCAACCCAATGACACAAATAATTAAGACATCTAGAGGGCAACATATCGTCTTCAACAATAGACATGTGTCAATACAATATGTCAATGAGAAGACAGCAACCCAATGACACAAATAATTAAGACATCTAGAGGCTAACATATAGTCTACAACAATAGACAGGTGTCTATACAATATGTCAGTGAGACAGCAACCCAATGACACAAATAATTAAGATGTCTAGAGGGCAATATATAGTCTTCAACAACAGACAGGTGTCTATACAATATGTCAGTGAGACAGCAACCCAATGACACAAATAATTTATACATCTAGAGGGCAACATATAGTCTTCAACAATAGACAGGTGTCTATACAATATGTCAATGAGACAGCAACCCAATGACACAAATAATTAAAACATCTAGAGGGCAACATATAGTCTTCAACATTAAACAGGTGTCTATACAATATGACAGTGAGACAGTAACCCAATGACACAAATAATTAAGACATCTAGAGAGCAACATATAGTCTTCAACAATAGACAGGTGTCTATACAATATGTCAATGAGACAGCAACCCAATGACACAAATAATTAAGACATCTAGAGGGCAACATATACATGATATAGTCTTTAACAATAGACAGGTGTCAATACAATATGTCAATGAGAAAGCAATCCAATTATACAAATAATTAAGACATCTAGAGGGCAACATATAGTCTTCAACAATAGACAGGTGTCTATACAATATGTCAATAAGACAGCAACCCAATGACACAAATAATTAAGACATCTAGAGGGCAACATATAGTCTTCAACAATAGACATGTGTCAATACAATATGTCATTGAGACAGCAATCCAATGATACAAATAATTAAGACATCTAGAGGGCAACATATAGTCTTCAACAATAGACATGTGTCTATACAATGTCAGTGAGACAGCAACCCAATGAAACAAATAATTAAGATATCTAGAGGGCAACATATAGTCTTCAACAATAGACATGTGTCTATACAATATGTCAGTGAGACAGCAACCCAATGAAACAAATAATTAAGACATCTAGAGGGCAACATAAAGTCTTCAATAATAGACAGGTGTCTATACAACGTGTCAGTGAGACAGCAACCCAATGACACAAATAATTAAGATGTCTAGAGGGCAATATATAGTCTTCAACAACAGACAGGTATCTATACAATTTGTCGGTGAGACAGCAACCCAATGACACAAATAATTAAGATATCTAGAGGGCAACATATAGTCTTCCCATGTATGTAACAACGTATTTGATTTCAACAAAAGAAATCTCTGTATTACTGAAAAATTATTACACCAGGGTTTTCGATATCACAAACTAATCAAAACATTTACTAAATTTTATCATCGGTACAAGGACATCATTCGTAAATATAAATCAACATGCAGACATCTTATACGTTCAGGCATTTCACATCCAATATTTTATGGTAATATTCTTTACAAAGCACAAAAATGTCGGCATTCACCTCAAAAGCTAACCAAACCTTTAAACAGACTTATTCGGAAAGGATATAGTTACGATACTGTTGTCAAGTCATTAAGGATTGCATATTTTGGTATTAATATTGATTCACTCATAGGGTCTTTGCATCGGAAATAAACACATTTATTCTAAACCAGTTGTTGGCATGATACAGGTTATGTTCTTTTTATATATTTTATGATGGGTATGATATTAAACCCCTAACGGGAGGGATTGTACTTGATTTTCATATGATGAAGACATAATCTTTCAATTAGTTTAATTGTGGTCTGGAGCTGGCATGTCAGTAACTGCTAGTAGTCCTTTGTTCATTTATGTATCATTGTCATTTTGCTTAGTTTCTTTTGTTACCTATTCTGACATCAGACTCGGACTTCTTTTAAACTGAGTTTTACTGTGCGTATTGCTATGTGTTTCTTTATCATACATTGACTAGAGGTATAGGGGGAGGGTTGAGATCACACAAAACATGTTTAACCACGCCGCATTTTTGCACCTGTCCCAAGTCAGGAGCCTCTGGCCTTTGTTAGTCTAATGTTCTATTTTTAGCCATGGTGGCCATCTTGGTTGATGGGCGCGGTCATTGCATACATCATTTAAACAAGATACCCCAAGGATGATTTAGGCCAAGTTTGGTTTTATTTGGCCCAGTAGTTTCAGAGGAGAAGATTTTTGTAAAAGTTAACGGACGACAACAGATGATAGACGCCAAGTGATGAGAAAAGCGCATTTGGCCCTTTTGGGCCAGTTGAGCTAAAAATGGTAAAATCGCCATTAAAGGGCTATAACTCCAATGAGGAGTCATCGAATGATTTCCACCATATGGTATAAATTGTAGATCTTGTCGTGCTGATCATTTTTGCCTAGTTTAAGTTTCTATCTAATTATTATAATTTTTTAGATATAAGGCAAAAGGCAATAAAATGCTTCGCTGGGCGCAGCTTGATACGACCGCAGAGGTCGAACCCTGAACAGTTGGGGCAAGTATGGACACAACATTCAAGCTTGATACAGCTCTGAATTTGGATTGTGATTAAATATTTGACACAGCATAGGTTTCTGACACAGAAAGAATGTGGTCTAAGAACTTCATTTTTTTTAATTTACCTATTATGGTCCAATGTCCAAAATCAAAATACATGGTTAGATTCAGCATATCAAAGAACCCCATATATTCAATTTTTGTTGAAATCAAACAAAGTTTACTTTTAGACCCCAACTTGGACAAACTTGAAAACTGGTCCCATAATCAAAAATCTAAACACATGTTTAGATTCAGCATATCAAAGAACCCCAAGAATTCAATTTTTGTTAAAATCAAACTAAAGTTTAATTTTGGACCCTTTGGACCTTAATGTAGACCAATTAAAAAAGGGACCCAAATTAAAAATCTAAAAACACGGTTAGATTTGGCATATCAAAGAACCCCAATTATTCAATTTTTGATGAAATCAAACAAAGTTTAATTTTGGACCCTTTTGACCTCAATATGAACCAATTTGATAGCAGGCCCACAAATAAAAAATCTAAATACATGGTAAGATTCAGCATATCAAAGAACCCCATATATTCAATTTTTGTTGAAATCAAACAAAGTTTAATTTTGGACCCCAATTTGGACCAACTTGAAAACTGGGCCAAAAATCTAAAATCTAAATACATGTTTAGATTCAGCATATCAAAGAACCCCATATATTCAATTTTTGTTGAAATCAAACAAAGTTTAATTTTGGACCCCAACTTGGACCAACTTGAAAACTGGTCCCATAATCAAAAATCTAAACACATGTTTAGATTCAGCATATCAAAGAACCCCAAAAAATTCAATTTTTGTTAAAATCAAACTAAGTTTAATTTTGGACCCTTTGGACCTTAATGTAGACCAATTAAAAAAAACGGGACCCAAAATTAAAAATCTAAAAACACGGTTAGATTTGGCATATCAAAGAACCCAAATAATTCAATTTTTGATGAAATCAAACAAAGTTTAATTTTGGACCCTTTTGACCTTAATATGAACCAATTTGATAGCGGGCCCACAAATAAAAAATATAAATACATGGTAAGATTCAGCATATCAAAGAACCCCACATATTCAATTTTTGTTGAAATCAAACAAAGTTTAATTTTGGACCCCAATTTGGACCAACTTGAAAACTGGGCCACAAATAAAAAATCTAAATACATGGTTAGATGCAGCATATTAAAGAACCCCATATATTCAATTTTTGTTGAAATCAAACAAAGTTTAATTTTGGACCAACTTGAAAACTGGGCCAAAATTCAAAAATCTAAATACATGTTTAGATTCAGCATATCAAAGAACCCCATATATTCAATTTTTGTTAAAATCAAACAAAGTTTAATTTTGGACCCTTTGGACCTTAATGTAGACCAATTTGAAAACTGGACCCAAAATTAAAAATCTAAATACACGGTTAGATTCGGTATAACAAATAAATAAATGTGGTCAAAGATTTTACAAATCTAATGCGCCATACTGGTCTTCCTTTATAAATATGCATTTCTTTAAACATAATTTAAAAGCAGTGTAAGGGAAGTAACCAAAACGTTGTATTTGGATTACCTCCCTTACACTGTTTTAAATTATCTTAATTGTTCATTAACCATTACTTTATACATAATTTAAAAGCAGTGTAAGGGAGATAATTTCAATGATGTATTTGATTTATCTCCCTTACACTGCTTTAAATTATGTTTTGTACTAAAGTATTTGTCCATTAATGAGGACAACCTTGTTTTTCCCCCTTTTTTGCCCCTAATTCTTAAACGGTTTGAGCAATAACCCCCCAAAGCAAATCCTAACCATCCCTTTGTGGTATGGAAACTTGTAGTATAATTTCAGAGAGATCCATACACCGTTCCACAGTTATTGTCTGGAATCTAGAAAATGCTTATTTTTGGCCCCTTTTTGGCCCCTAATTCCCTAACTGTTGGTACCATAACCCCCAAAATCAATCCCCACCTTCCTTTTGTGGTATTGAACCTTATGGTAAAATTTCATAGAGATCAATTCACTTAAACTAAAGTTAGAGTGCGAAAACTAATGCGTCTTCGGACGACGATGCCGGACAACGACGACGACGACGCCAACGTCATACCAATATACGACCACAAAAATTTTTTTGCGGT